AATATGAAAGTATAGGAGTATATTGTCACATATACACTTACATATTGTCAAAACATTACTACTTTCTACATTATCTATAAAAACGGCAAAAGATCATGTCTGTTTTATGGGAGCCCCACTTATTTATAATTTTATGTTTTTTAGTATTTGTTGTTATAGCGGCAACAGAAATACATCGTTTGTGAAAATTTCAACTGTCTAACTATCATGGTTCATGATATTCAGCTTGGTGACATATGGACAGACATACGGACCTACAGACAGACAGCGGAGTCTTAGTAATAGGGTGCCTTTTACCCTTTGGGTACGGAACCCTAATAAGTCCCAGTAATAATGCAATGGATTAAAACAGGTAGCCCTAACCATAAACCTAAATGCATAAAATTGCATGCACACAGGTGAAATTTGATCTGGGTATTTGTTTCCCAAGGAGCGTTGACGTCAGGCAGGCGGCTGGTTGTAAGAGTATAGCCAAAACCACTTACAACATGATTCATGTTGTGCCGACCCCACCTAGGTGGCAGGAAGATGATGATAACTTGTATACTTGTCCCTCTATTTAAAAAGTTCGCGTCAAACGATGTCATTTGAAAGAGGCTATTGTACTTTCGGATGCTGGTTAAAAATATCCAGATGGTGAATGATATTTGTCAAAAGATTTTTTATTGTCTGTGGCGGCTCCTCAATATTGGGGAGACTAACTTTTCCAGAAGCACAGCACATACAATTTGGTTCATCTACCCATTTTTTGGCAGAACACTTAGAGCAGATCATATCATGGCTCCGATTTGGACGAAGGACTGTTGAGCATAATGCTGATCTGTTACTGTGAGCTAAAACTCGATAACGAACTCTAGTTCTTGACGTTTGTTGTCTTTGGAACGCTCAGAGCTCGATTCCCTGGTGTGAATTTGTATATTTATATCATTTTGCTCTTCAGGCCGCTCTACTTCGATTACACTTTCCGATGCGTCGATTTACACTTTCCGGTAAAGATTCCTCATTACAAAGTATTTTTGATGCCATCGTCTGGTAACTATTTCTAGAAAGTTGAGGTCTTGATCTTTTGGGCATTTTAAAAAGATAAAAGAAATTAAACTGTCTTTGTAATTAATTATTTGCTAACTGTTAAACAGGAATTACCAGTATAAATGTGTATGAAAAATTATAAGAACTACTAAGTCAGTCACTAAGCTGTTTGGATAGTTAAATTACAATATACTAAAATTTTTAACTTGTGATATTTTTCGAATGGAATGTCCGAATTTAATAATTTGAAAAGTAATATAAAGCTATTTTAAACAGTCTTTAATGTTTAAACAGTCTTTAATGTGAAGTAATTTTTTTTTTTTTTTTTTTTAATCTTGTAAATATCTGAAATTATATACAAAAAATTGTCCAATAAAAAAAGTTTATTTTTATAAGGATTAATACCAAGATACAAGTAAAGAGCCTTTTCTAGCGGCGGCATTTCAATCAAAATTTTAAAATAAAAGAACACTTATTGTGGCATAACTTTAGACATATGCTCTCGCGACACTTTTTGGAAATAATGATGTGTTCTGCAAATTCGTAGTACATTATTTAATTCTATCATCAATAGTTTTCGCAGCACACGCGATGTAAAGAATATTTTAGGTAATTTTTGTACACTTTGGGTTACATTATTGAAGTTTTAGTAAGGATCCCTATTTCTTTGAAAATATAATATAGCCTATATCAAGCGGGAATCATGTAGCTTCCCAACAGTGAAAGAATTTTTCAAATCAGTTCAGTAGTTTCGGAGCCTATTCAATACATACAAACAATCAAATTTTTCCTCTTTATAATATAGATTAATGGATAAACGCACAACATGCTTACGATTGTCAGCTTAGTTTCTTCACTCGTTCTCCGCAACTATTCCGCATAGCTCATATGAAGCGAAATACCGGGGTGTGAAAAAACAAAGAGTAAAAATAAAAATCTGACTCTTGAGATAAAATAATTTTTGAGGGTTAACAGATATATGAGATGCTTCACTAACTCTTTCAACTGCTTTTATTATAATAATAGCGCTATTGTTATCTGTGAAGTCTAATTAAACGAAGTATTTATAACACAGAAACTGCTGCGTGACCCGGCAATAATTTATTGATGCCGAAACTTGTCAACGGCTAAGCGATGTTGTTGGTGAAAGTATCACTATTAACAATTATTTCGGCTGTCACACAGAGCACAATCTCGTGGAATATCACTAGTGACACAAATTATTCACGTATCGAATTATACGGTGGCGCTAACCGCTTCGTGCCCTCCCCCCTCACCATCTCCACTGCAACTCACCTGTCGTGCGGACGCTTGGTCGAGTGCGTCCCGCTATTACGGCACGTTTTAATATTCCATCGCGCTAAAACGCTAAATGATACCCAATGAAAAGAAACCCTGATGGGAATTTACTGTTTGCACTTGCGGCACAGTGTCGATTCAGCTTGAAGAGTTGTCTTGCGACCCACAGTGCTAACGGCATCGCGGCGAGTCGACACCATGTGGCTGTAGGAAAATAAACAAACCATTAACATTCCTTTATTTTCAGAATTGTAAACATTCTAACCAGTTTTGGTCTCGTATACATGTTTACATCCTGTCATTAAAAATGCCTCCACACTCACAAATCCAAAAGTAAAAACATTACGAATCATAAAATATTAATGAATTTATAAAATAAGGACGCGTAGCAGAATAACATTTTCAGGGCTTTCGCGGTCGATGAGCATTAAAGCGATAAGATCGGTACTGTTCGTACCTACCGCTTGAATTCTAGCCCAAATCCGCTGAGTCAGCGACACGGACTCTCGTGATTCTATAGGTGTTGGAATTAAAATTATTTATCTTTCACGGAAATATCAGCCTTACCAAAAGGTCTTTGTAAGTATTACATTGAAGGTGGCGAAAGATTAAAATTTGAACTTATTGAAATCTGAAATTTGACCCATTGAACCCACTGAAATTTGAGTGCTCGGCTCCCCTTAGATTGCGCCTCAGCTACTCGTACAAAAGTTTAGCCCGGGATACCTCAATTGTCAAGCGAAATACAAAAGTACAAATAATTTGACTTCACATCGTACTCTATGAGAACGCGGAGGTCCTCGGACGTGGCTTTACCGCAATTAAGAAGCAGTTTCTGAATGTTGAGGTGAGAAAAGTCATGCGCTTCGATCATGTTCAAACTTAAAGAGATACTCTTAAAATAAATTGAAAATAGGGAGACTTTGAAATAGTTCCCGGCGCTAGACATGATGTTCTATCTAAGCGCGAGTGGAGCACAAGATCGATGACGCATTGGACGCGCGCCAACCGCAGAGCTGCTTCATAACTTTTCAAAGATAAGCGAATGATATCGCCCACTTAAATAACGGGCCAGATATCGCTGCCACCATTGTGCCTCAACTGGGCCGATCTCTTTGTTCCCCTTTCAGAGTTTTTCATATCAAACCAAATCATTATCGCAGGCGACGCTTTCACTGCTCCACTTGGTATTCAATAACGTTGTCGGAATAATGAGATGTGGTCATTGTCATAACAAACCATTATCTAACAAAAAAGGACTGAGAATTTCATTGTGTTAGTTACAACCCTTATGGTTTACCTTAATCCTTTTGGAATTAATTCAATAAATCCTTTCGCTCCAAAAAATATAAGCAATAAGCCCTTTTGAAATGCAACCGAGCACCCGAGCGAAACAATGAGTGGCCACTGGTTCCAGAAATTAACTAACATTATCTCTCGGATACGGCACCAATCACATGAATAATAAATAATAGGAAAAAAGGTAATGAAAAATGTTGCAATTGTTCGTTCAACTGCCTATATTGTTTATAGTATATTAAACTAGTCAATAAGTAAAACTTTCGAATAGATAGGTATCTCACAAAGAGTAGTCAGTCATGTGAAAATTGAAATTGGATATTTATTACGGCTTGGCAATTGAACAGAATTCAGCAGGGGCTTGTGTTGCTGCGCGGTGGTTGCCGTAGATTTCTGGCAAGGAGCATGCCCGTGCCAAGACTATTATGTTTCAGCCCCAACCGAAGCAGTTTCACGTTGAAGTTTTCATCACTTTTGCATATTGGATAAAATAAGGGTCCCATCTATTTAGCGGCTCATATGATGAAATTTTGACTGTAAAAAAGTGGTCCGAAATGGTCACGAAATCGTCAAAAATGGTCAGGGATGTTTAGCAATCAGTCAATTATTTGACACTTACTAACAGAGAGTTTAAAATTCGAAGGTCATCGGAAAATTTAGGCGCATCATTTTAATCACATTTGGTCACAAAATTATTACATTTCGTCAATTCCTTTTGATAATTGGTCGATGTTATTTACGTATTCATTATTAAAATAAAAAAAAATAGTTAACTTTTCTGATTAGCACCTCAAAATAATAATTTTCAACATAAAGCAAAGATCCTATAGAAAGGAATGCCTATGAAATACAAACAGTTGGTCAGTATACATACAATATTTTTAAATAAAAGTATGTCTGTCTGAAAACATGCCAGTATTCATCATAGTTTGTGCAAAGAAAAAGATAATTATTTTACGCTAATATTGAATCTTGAAATGATGCAGGTTTATTTTTATACATTTTGAGATGATCGAACGTTGAAATTTTCCTAATATGTTTATTACGTACATTACGGGTGATGCGGTGACTGCCAATGAGCAGTCTTCTGCGGAGAAACGGCACGGCCGCACAGATAACAAGCTTGATGTGGACGTATTACACTAACACTTTTGGTGATGCAAACCAGGCCCCACTAATTTTAAGGTTGGCATTGCATCTGCAACTCCACCGGCGTCACAAAACTACACCGGATCGCTCGCCTTCACACATAAAAAGATGTTAGTTCATGTTCAGAACATTAATTGTCTTTTCTACACAGTGAGCGCTCATATTTGTTTAAAGTCACAGCCAGATAGTAACGGAATGAGATGCCATTGAGTCGCCCGTTGCAGTGTTGTCATGCGGCGAGACGGGGGGCGGCGGGCGGCTGGCCAAGCGCTACGTGGGCCTCTACACGGGGCCCTACTTCGACCCCTCCGCGCCCAACAACATCACGGCTCAGCTCGGCACACACGCGTACCTGCCCTGCAAGGTAACACCTTCCTTAATGAGCGTCCACTTGTATTGTGTTATATAGTAATCTGAGATTGTGGCGGAAGTGTAACATTCACCTAAACACACAGATCCGGCAGCTGAGCAACAAGTCGGTGTCGTGGATCAGAAGACGCGATGCGCACATTCTCACCGTGGATCGGTTCACGTTCATCGCGGACGAGAGGTTCCAGGCCTTCCTCGTAGAGGCCACGGACACGTGGACCCTGCAGGTGCGTCCCAAAAACTAATTCCTTGGTAATGCTTTGAAAAAATATTTATCATATAACAGAGTGAACCGGTAACTGTATATTAATAATTTAAACAAAATTATTACTTTTGTACTCACGTAGGAAGTTATTCTTGTTTAGCATGACAAAAGGAAAATAACAAAAAAGATATATATCATGTTTGTGAAAAAGACTTCTAAAAGATTAATTAAAATAAAAAAAAAATTACAGTATGAACGGATGTAAATAAATAGGATCTAAAGAGAATCTTTTAAATTTTCCGTGAAATTAATGAACCGTGCAATCGGAACTAGACTCCGCCGGCAGTGGAAGCCCCAATTTGATAGATCGCAATCGCAGCCGGCTAATGGGCGCGAGTGAGGCGGCTCGGCAACGTTTGCTAATTGTTCTGCGGCTGCAGGTGAAGTACGTGCAGGCGCGGGACGCCGGCGTTTACGAGTGCCAGGTGGGCACCGAGCCCAAGATGAGCCACTTCGTGCAGCTCAATGTCGTCGGTGAGTGCTTCGCCTTCTCTTGCTGAACTCGATTATTACCTAACACATAATGCTTCGATCACATTTTTCAATGCAGGTGGAACCCAAACTAGAGTTGCATCCGAAAGGATTGCAACTATAAAACATATCCGATCAAAAATAAATTATTGTCTCTCACTACACTTAGCTTGCTTCATGTACCTGTTTACTTCTGATTTAACTTATTTGTGTATGCATTGTTAATGAAGAGAGTGTGGGTATTATTGATGACGTGCCATGCGTGTGCCGCAGTGCCAAAGATCGAAATAGTGGGCGAGGCGGACCTGTACGTGAAGGCGGGCAGCACGGTGAGCCTCAAGTGCGTCATCACGCAGGCCCTCGAGGAGCCCGCCTACATCTTCTGGTACCACAACGACGCCCGGGTGCTCAACTACGACCGCAGCCTCGTCGAGATCCGCATGGAGCGCCTCGCCCCCGACACCACGGTACTATCTACGCCTATCTGGCCTCTCTGGCCTCTCTGGGATGGCCTTTTTTTCATAAATCTAATACGTAAATCGAGACGCTTAATGAAATCCTTGACTTTTTAGAATTTCAGCAATATATTTATTGGACAGGTGGGCAATTTGATTATCTACAATCCCCGAAGAGAAGACTCCGGCAACTACTCGTGCTCGCCCTCCAACCTGGACTCTGCCTCCGTTGTGCTGCACGTCCTGAGCGGTGAGAATGCAAATCCATTCTTATGAGATACATTGCGATATGAATTCTATAGTGAATGCAAGCCACAATTAAATTAATATGTAACGGAACGCTGGATGGCTTGGTTTAATATACGGCGCAGTGAGCATCGGGCCTTTTTTCCACGGCGCATACTATGCGCTGCATTAAAATATGTCAACTGTGAATTCAATTCAAATGAATACACTAGTGGCATGCTCACCCCAGCTCTGTTCACGTATACAAGTTAATGTTTCGTCAAGTTTTATAAATAATCAAAATAGTAGGCTTATGTCCTTTTATTTAATTTTTTTTTGTATTTTTAACTTAACTAAAGAAAGCGGTTTTGAAATTTTGGGTGCTGGATATTATATGTTGTGGTGTTTATGATGCTCATGATAGCGTAACTTTTCATGAGTGAAAAAATATGATAATATGTTAAGTAAGTTTTATTGTGGTGGGGCCACGCAACAGTCTTCTCTTTTGCACGTGTCGCAATGGGTAGGTCCGTCGGAGTAAGTACCACGACCTCGCAGATGACCGGCATGAATTGGAAGCGTACTATACTTCTACGTTTTGTCTGATGAGTGAGGTAGCCGGGGCAGGCTTTATTAATAGGTCGCATTTGTAACCCTACGGGTGTTGCAAATGGTAATGGATGGTGTTTATCACTTAACATCAGGTGAACCGCTAGGTCGTTTGCCACTTCTCACATAAAAATAAAATTTCTGAGGCGACACATTACATGGAAACGAGGAAGCTAATAGAGCCAGATACAATCAAAGCGCAAAAGGCCGAAACGGCATAAAATGCGAGGAGATGACTCTGGTAGTGCAGGGCATCGCTAGAGTAGCCAATGGATATGGCGGAGGGAGTGAAGCGCAGAGAGCGCGTTCTCGTTCGCAGGGGAGCAGCCGGCCGCGATGCAGCACGGCAACGCCGCGCCGCGCCCCGCGCCCCTGCCCCTGCAAGCCTCCGCGCTCCTCTCGCTCGCGCTGCACCTCGCCCTCGCCCTGCTAGAGTGAGTTGTGTGCCGCCTTGTGCCCATGATTTCATGTTCGCTGAACATCCCGCGGCCCAAAGCTTACGCAATATGTATGAGGGCGTCGTTTGTTTCCAGGATAATGCTGTGCCACGATGAAGAAGAGCCCAAATAGCGGCCGCCGGTCGCCGTCGGTGGCACGTGATTGTGTGCGTGCGCGTGTGTATGTGTGAGCGCGTGTGTGCGTGTTCCGCGTCCGACCGCAGGGCGCCGACGAACTTTCCGCCGCTCCTAGTCCACTTAAGTAATCGTAAGCAACGGGCGGCCCTCGCTCCCACTCGCGAGCCACTCTGCCGATCCGATACCGCTTTGTCGAATGTCGGATTGTTGGGTTTCGGAACTTTATGGCAATTATGAATATGAGCTGAGCGTGTTGTTCGCGCCGGCGTTTGTAAATTGTACATATTATTACTACTATTATTATTATGTAATTGTAATTATTACTAAATGTAACATTTTTTCGTATTAAATAATGCGAGGGGTGCGGTGAATGCGATATAATACAGAGAAATATTTTTTATTTAGATCGTTTAATAAATAAGACGTGCATTGAGTCCATGTGTACAAAGTATATTTTTAAATGTTTGTTGAAATTATAAATGTGTTGAATATCATATTGAAATTTATGACATCTTGTTTTGACGGATAACTAGGATTATGCATATGTTTAAAAACCAATGCTTAGCCAGTGTACAAATCCCACCCCTGCATTGAACCATTCAACCGACATCGAAAACGTTTCTTTAGCATCCCGGGAAAGGCACCACGTTCAAAGAACGGACCGCCTTCCACCTCAAACCCCCACCCGCTCCCCTGCCCCAGTAGGCTACTGCCAACTGCTGCGAAGGAGCATCAATACGGTGCTTAACCATAAAATCTCCAGCTGTTACAAAACTAGATGCTTCTTCACAGCGAAACAATTAGGCCAAATAATAGCCGCACAGAAGGAGAGAAAGAAAACTTTATAGATAATTATATAGATGGGTTTATCATCAGGCCGCAACGACAGGTGGGCGCTGGGGTTTGTCGTTATTTATAACGTATCGTTGAACAAAGGTCCCGTGTTATTTCTGTTTGGTTCATTGACACTGTTACTGCCTCACGTGTAAATATATTAATTTAAGGGATATGAATAAAGATGAGATCGTTGAAACATTAATTCGCCCTTTATTTACTAACTCTCCTATTTATACCACAAAATATACATTCGTTGTTCTACCGACATTAGCCGGTATTCTACATGACGATTTTTTATATTCACAGGAATACTACACGGGATTTTATGACATCAAAGACTAGGTATTTTTCACCCTAATTTCGTAGTTAATCACAGAACTACCACATTTTTTGTGACAGGTTTTCGTTCGATCTTCGCAGAAGAAGCTTCCAACGTCCAATTTTATTTTTATTAATATTAGAATTCTATGTTTTAACCATTTCATTTTACTAGCCTTCCAAATCCTCATAGTGACGTTCTCTTGAGAGGCTTTGAGGTTTATTATGTTTAAGTTTATTATGTGCTGTTACAAGAATGATGTTGAATTAAATTTTTTTGAACGGATCTTCTTAACAATTCCAAAAACAATATGGCTGCAGATATTACTACGACAACGAATAAATAAAGTTCCCTAAAGTTTTCGAAAAGAATTAAAAGCATATACTTTATTATCATTATTATTTATGCACGAGAAATAGCATAAAGAAATGATAGAAATACAAGCGAACAAGTAAAACGTTGATAAGTCTTGGTTTTATGGAAAGTATATGAATAATCTTTCTCAAAGTTAACCACGAAAATTAAAGAATCAGTAGGAGATACTGGGTATTCCACTGCTTTGAATATAATTTGTATGTAATTGTCTTTATTTCCACAATATTCAATAATCATTCTCTTCCATACCTGGTAGCGTTAAAATCTAAAAACCGGTTTTATTTGATCTAAAAACCTGTTCGTATTTCAAATAATTTTGTTTTTTCCATCAAAGGAAATGTAAATCTTAACATTTATATAAATCCCTTTTAAAAATCTTTATATGAGTACGTTAGTAATAGTACGTTAAAGCGAAATATGAATCTTAAAAATAAAACTCAAATTCTACTACATCGTATTTTTAATACTAACATCCATCCATATGGTGTAGGTATAGATAAACAACACATTATTGACACAAAATCAATATACTTTCTCGAATTGACTTTATTAACGTGATTAAAAAAAAACGTGAATTTCTCACTAAGCTATCTCGCAGATTCGATATGAACGTTATTCGATCAAATCATTGCGCCCTCACACCTAATCACGCGAACTTAGGCCGTGACACGCGAATTGGCCAAGGCCGGGCCCTCCATCGCCCAACGGAGCGGACCCTGGCCACGCAACACATTAGCGTAATGCACGACTTGCGTGCCAAATAAATGCAGCATTCGGTTACGTTTGGATGTTTACTAATCTGATATGATTGACCCGATAGCAAAACTTCTATTGAGGTTTTGTCGTACACAACGATATTAATATTGCCCGCACCCGAGTCAGCAGCATAGGCTGAGGCAGGCAATGCAAGTTTGGACAGGACATTTCCTTTAATACTAAATGACTAAAGAACAAAATGAAATACAGGTAAAAAATAAAACAAATCTCAGAATCTTCACATGTTTCTATCGTATTAAATGTTAAAAACTGCAACGAAAAGCATGAACGAGCTGCGTTAACTTTATTTGAATAACGGATTTTAAACGAAAAGATGGTATTCAAAATGGGTCAGGGAGCTCAGAGAGAATTTTTAGCCGCGCCACAAAGAAAACTTTTCATTTTTCCAAACGTTTACCGAGCTGCATCAGTGAATCAACAAAATGAACTCTTCATTTTAATTTTGCCTTTGTTTGTTAATAGCGCCACAATAACATGTTTAAAGATTTTTCAAGCTCATTTTTCCATTTTATCTCTTCATTTTAATTTATTTCAAATGCTTTAATTACGATCAGTTTTGATACTTAAGTCAAACAGCGATAAACACGTGTACCTGATTTCGAAATGTATTTATTCTTTTTCATATCACTCATTAGGGTTTTCGTAAAAATAATTATTATCCATCAATTAGTCCAGACGATTTAACGGTAATACCAATGTAAGAACACCTTCAAAAAGATTGAATTTAATTAATGTTAGATGAATTTCTTTCCGTGTCGGAAACGTTGTTTGAATAAACCAGACAAGAGTGAGATGCCGCTGACGGAATGCATCGAAGGTACTAGTGGTGCGCCAAAAAAGCAAGCAAACGACAGAAGCGATAAATGTAATGAGGTTCCGCGAATGAAGTAAAGCAAGAAACTCTCCTCGCGGCGCCTGAAATAACGAGGAAGCATTAATGCGGCTCCTGCGTTGCTCTCTAATTACTGCTGCGTTTGCAAGAAAAGACGTGAAATAAAATACGAAACAGTCGTCTGCAGATTATTACTCCTACCCTACTTTACCACTGAGATTTTTTTAAGGTTAACTTAAGGAAGCTTTAAGGTTATTAGAGTTGGCCACAAATTTTATAAATTTAATCAGTCCAATGTAAGTACTAAAAGTTAGTGTTTAACGTTAGTGTGGGGGCGAACGTTTAGTTCAAAATAAATATATATGTATGTAACTACCTAATTACCTACCTACTAATTATTAAGGCAATGTATGCAAAAATGTATAAAACCAAATTTCGAAAGAGTTTTAGCCCAATATTAAAGTTTACTCTAATTCTCTCATTACACCACGTGTAAATGTTGAAAGATTCGAATTTTAATTAAGTAAGTAACATTATCAGTGTGACACACTACGAGTAACATAGGTATTTTTAACTTCATTCACTCATAACATTCATTCACTAATAATATTCATTATCGGACTTAAACGTTTTATCGTTTATTTAGTTATTTCCAAATATCCAAGTGCCTTTAATAAATGCTCGCACATGTGAATGTGATTCGTTAACATCCGCTTGAATCAAGTCATAATATTTAGTTTTTCACTTTAATTACTTTGTACCAAATCGTCAATACTTAACTATGAAGCAATACCGCTTGATGTTTCCTGTTATGCTTACAACGGGTTGTACCAATATCACTTGCTACATTGCAGGTTCTAACCATCACTACACGTTTCACTTAAGACACTGTTTGTACTTTATTTCACGAAGTACTCCATTTAATTCCCTTGTATGGCGCATTGTGCTATGTCATTCATTTTGCTTACCTACAGCAGAGGAATAGATAACTGTCGACGACTGTCTTCCCGTTCGAATGTAACGTAAGAGTCTTCAAGGTGACAGTGAATAGGCTTTTCCTTAACTAATGCGTTTACCATCTACGGCTAGATTAATACTTACCATATCATATGCAATACCAGTCCATTCCAGCCATAGGATTCCCATATTACAAAATTTTAAAAAATACATAATATTAATTCACTTTAATATCACTCATTTTGATGTAGAACAAAAGTATTATTTTAACAATGAGAGAATAAATTTAACTAGAACGGAAAATCATCGACGAGATCGTTCTACCTGCAGAGATAATCCCCAAATACAGTCCCCTAATGCACATAAGCGATATTAAAATGTTCCCTAGTACTGCGGCATGTAATTTGGAAGATGCTGCGCTGATGAAAAGTGAGTGTGGTGTCTTCGGGAAGGCGAAATATTTTTGAATTTTATCATGGTGAGAATAAATAGCTCGGAAATTGTTTGTTTGTATTGATTAATTTTTTTTTTAATCGTAATTCCATTTGGGAGGCAATGAGTTTTTACTGTGCTAGGCACAAATATTTTGAGTATTGTACTACGAAAAAAGGCAGCTTGTGTTCTCATAAATATTCAAGGTGCTCGTGCATAAATCCTCTTAGCGGCTAAAATGGTCTGGGAATCGTCCGGTGAATATGTTTCAATAGCCCGTTTGTTTTCGAGTGTAAAGGTATCCGTTTCCATTGGATATTTCGCATCAAAGTTTTCAATTAATGCTTTAAAAAAATTGAAAAAAAATATTTATTGTTTTAATTAATGCCATTCATCATCAGCCATGTCTAGTTGAATTCATCACACAGGATGAATTCAACTAGGCCAATTATATTTTAATAAC